GTGACTTAGGAACAAAGAGTAGCGATGTGAAGTGACATTATATGGCAAATAATTTACCCCCTATTTTACATACATACGTGGTTAAAGAAAGGAACAGTTCACCAAATGGCAGAATTAATTGTCTACATTCATAGCACAAATTTTGATGACACCTCTTCTTTTTAAAAAATGTTCTTACATGAATCTCCTTCACCCTTGTATATTATAGGTCTGCCTGGTGCGTACCCACTGGAATAGTCATGATACGAGATGTGTGTACATTTATCATTCAAACACACTGATTCCTAATATATGGAGATGCTAAGGCGGTGGTGATGATTCGGAAGTACCGCCCTCGATAGGTCTACAATATGCTGTTTATATTAGTAACAGAAGAGCACTGTTGCCAACACAGCAGTCTCCTGACTTCTTCACCTGATCTCGGCCTCAGATTTATTTAATAGGATCCCCGTGAAAATTCCAGGTGAGAGAAGCAATCTGTGTTTTTAGAAAACACACTTCGACATAATGAAATCTTCAGGTCTTTCTTGACCGAGCAGCATTAAAAGGTACTTTACCATTAAGGCTAATTTTTTTCTTCACCAAGCCTCACTGAAAAGTAATTTACCTTAAAGGGGGAAATTTTAAGTTACACATATTGAATCAGTTTTCTACAAATAACCATATTTGCGTGAAAATAGGCATATTGACTTCTCAGATACCCCGGATACTTTACAATTCACCAATCAATATATTTTCAAAATGTTTATTAACCATATTAAGAGCCGTAAAGGTCAGAATGGGCTCTTATTTTATTACTAATCCTTTATCTACCAGTTATCTTGATGAGGATTTGGGGTTTTTTGTCCTTAGTTTTAAGCCATGTTGCAGGGACACAAGAATGTGGCATATTAGTTCACTCCTATCAGAAGCAAATACCAAGCAGGCTGAGATCTATAAGTGAAAGACAAAGGAAGAGGGGACAGGCAGAGAGTGACTAGTCAGGAAAGGCTCAACTGCAGAGAATTTCTTAAAAATCGCAATGCGGCCTACAAGCTTCCCCCCAGGAAAGAGGCCACTGCAGACAGGCTCGGACCCGTCCGCAGTAGGGGCCCAGCTGTTTCAGTTGCTGGAGGGAGCCGCCTGGGGAAGCAGGGTCTCTGCAGGAAGGCAGAGAGGAAGCCCTGGGGCTGTGAGTCGGCTGTGCGGGCCTCCCCCGCCCGCCCCGCAGGTTCTGGATGGAGATCTGAGAGGCTGCTTCCCTGATGGTAAGCCCTGGCTACTGATCCCCAGCCCTGAGCCTTCTTTGCTGCTGCTATTTGCTTGTTTACTTGTTTAACAACTTGGCTAGACTATTTTAGTGACATCATTTCACCAGCAGTGTGACCCCTCTGACGTTAACCCCCAGAGAGCACAGCCTTGGTCGTGTGCAGTCACCCTAGGATTTCAGCGATTTTAACAAGGCTCTTTTTGTCTCTTTTCCTGATCTCTGTTTAGCTTTCTGCCTGTGGATCACACCCAGCCCTTAGGCCCCACTGGCTTAGATCTGATAGCCCTGTTGTTTTCAACAGCGCCTTGGATGGTCAATTGTTTCACAAATTGATTCGAATAATTTGAGCCTCTCTGCTAGGGTACCTTTTAAGGTCAACTTTTGAGGTTCGTTCTGACCCCAGGAGCTCTCTCTTTAGCAACTTCTTTCCATGGTACTCTCCCAGAAACTAGTTGGCCTGTGGTTTAGCGTTTTTTTGCTTTCGTGGAGCTACCAGCCTTCTCTTAATTGCTTACTGCTAAAATCTCCATTGTTTTCTGCGGCAGCCTTAGACTTGAATTTGCCCCCACTCTGTTCCAATTACATTTCACTTCTTAAAGAAAATCTCCAGAGCGCTCTGTTCTTGAAGGCCACCTCCTTTCCTGTGCAAAACCTCTGAGTCACTGTTCTGGAGCTGGGGCCAGGTTAGTGATCAGTTTCTTTGGCAGAAACACTCCTGCTTTTCGAGTGGGCACAGTATCCTCTGCTCTCTTAAGCTTGCCTCTTTCAAAATGAAAATTCTACCCTAGAAAGGATCAGGGTCTAGAGCAACCGGGGTCCTAAAGTTCTTGGTCTGCCAATTCTGGTGTAGACTCTGCATCCTGTGAATGGAGGCTAAGAGGAGGAAGGGACTCACTGACATTTTGGCTGCGCTCAACTGAATTTAGCTTCTGCCACACAAAGCTGGGTGGGAGGTGGAGGTAGAAATGCTGGGAAGACACCTACTCCTCCTGGGAAGACACCAAAACCATAGACTGAGACCTAAGGGAAGAGGGAGCCTCACCTTCTTGGCCACATCTCTCCAGAGTAGATCTTCCATCATCCTGATTTGGGAATGAGAGTTAAGGGGTAGCAGGAAAGAGCAGATCACATTGCTCAGTTATAGCAAACTATAGCTGTTCTTACTAAGACTTAGTAGATTTTTCTTGAATAAACGTTTTTACATGTTTATGTCTTTAGCAAAATTTTCAAAGGCTGTAAATTTTTTATTTTTTTCTAATAATTTTCAAGAGTTATGGTTGTTTTCCTGCAGAGCAGGTCTGGAAAACTCCTCATGCTACCATTTCAGACCTTAAACAACTTTAAAACCCATGAAGATCAAAGAAAAATTTTGCCCAGTGAATTTGGAAAGCAACAAGAATTTTGCCCACTACTCAAGGATATGACAGGAGGGGAAAAAATAAAGTAAATTAAGAGGTGACCCAAATGAATCAAAATCAGACTCTTTGAGAGCTCCCAATGCTTCCAGAAAAAGCAAAAACATCAGTTGTGTACAGCACTGCAACCACCTAGGCTCATGCAAGTGTCACAAACAAAAATATCAGAGGATTTTAAACCACAATTTAAAAATTAAAAGCCACATAAGAAAGCATATTATAAAAACAATTTGAAAGAGAGTTTTAAACATGTGAGAAAGGGGAGAAAGTTCACCAAGGAGGAATGAAAAGAGGATTTTAACTGCATCTGAGTTATTTATTACATGATAACTGAAGCACAGGTAAATGTTCACATCTACTAAAATTTCTTAGTGCATATGTCCTATTGTCTCCAATTTTCTGCTTAAATATTGCATTTTAAAAATATCACAAAAATACAAATTTCATTCTGATCCACAACATTATTTCTAAGTCTTTTTACACATAATATATCCAACTACAATAATTAAATTAGAGGGAAAATATTTCTATAAGGAGAAAATAATGGACCAGTTTCAATATTAACCTCCTGAGGACAAAAGAATGTGAAGTACTATTCATTTTCCCTGTGGAGAAAACATTTTTACTTTAACTTTCTCTGGACAGATTTTAGACAACCTAAAGTCAGCCTTAGCTATTCCCAGAAGACTTGACATTGTATGACTTGGTATAATGGATATAATACCGTGACACTAAGTTCCTGGCAAAGTTATTGAGACCACACCTCAAATAAAACTCTCTTGCAGGCAACTAAAGACTTAATAAAATGAAATAATGCATACTGAGTTTAAAAACAAGGCCATGATTATAATTATAATAAATCTCAGTGGGGGAATTTGTGTTTAACTATCCAAGATTTTTATTTCTGCTAAAATATTGCTTTTGAAAGAGGAATCCAAATGCAATTGTTATTAAATTGGAAACTAGAGAACATATTTCACTCAAAAATTCAGCTCTAAAAAGATATCTTCCAACATCTAGGATTCTAGGTACTTTAAGATCTAATAATTTATTTCTTCTACAATATCTAATCTCTTACAACTGAATTTCTATAGCTCATTGGGGATGGACTACTTTTCACTCACTCTTGAGTCCTTACCCTAATTGACTCAATGGTCCCCAGGAAGAGTTTCTTTCAGGAGTTAGTATTTTTTTTTAAGATGAACTAGTTTTCAAAGATAAATACTCATGTAAGACCATTCTCTTATCAGATCAAAAGAAGAATTTCACAGCATTCATTTCCCATTGTCAGTTGTCTAAGGGTAGAAATTTAGATTTGAGCTAAAAGTCCTGGAATATTAATACTTCTTCAACTCTGGTCTACTAAAATGCAAGTTGACTAAAACTTTGTTAGCTCAGTTTAAGTGATATACCTAAAAGGACTATGTTTTAGTCTTTCAGCAACTACGTATGAAACAACTGAAAACAGCTACTAATTAAATGCATGTCTCCCAGATATACCAAATAAGAAGAAAGCATCCCTTTCCATGTTGTTGACAATGTTTTATTGTTTTTAAATGGGAACAAAATGAAGAAATCTTTGAAATACTTGAGCAATTACTGTCAAAAGCAATTTATTGTCGCTAAAATAAAATAATTATTTTGTAAATGTGCTCCCACAGTAATATGTATAATCTAAGTAACTCTATGCAAACATTTTTCTGTTCAACAAATTGAGGCCATATTATAGTATTAAAATTAGGCCTGTGCTCCATACTTGCCTTTTCATTAACTATGTGACTTAAACTACTTCCTTTTACTTTCCTCAGTTTCCTCAACTGTAAAGTGTAAGTGGTAAAAGGCACATTTGTATTATGTGACTACAATAATAAAGTAAGACAGGGTTGAGGAGGATTTTGATGTGTAGGAGAAATTCAGAAAATAGCCCCTATTTTCATTTAATTTACAGTTGATCTGATGGAAAGTTCATCTAAAGTAAAAATTATGAAAGCCATGAGATTAAGTCTTTTTTAGTACATTTTTAAATATTTTAGACTAAATCTGTCAATTTTATGTTAAATTGCAATGTTCTCCATAATTTCAAGCAAATTCTTGCTTCAAATGTTTGACCATGTTTTTATATTTAAGGGCAAATGTCGACCCTGTTTTGGCTCCACCTATGAAGAAGTGGACTGACCCAGACAATTCCACAAGTCTAGACCTAAAACTCTTGCAACATAATGAGAAATTCTGCCAAGAGCCATTTGAAACATGGGACATTTGAGAACCTGTCAAATGAAGACTTTAATTAACCTTTTCTTCAGATTCCCTGAGGCCTATTCTTGTATGAAGACATCATGGACTACAATGCTTAGACCACATTTTCTCAGGTGCTCAGAAAATAATACCTTTGCTGAGTTCTGATTTAGAGTAACACCCAACACACAAATATTAGTGCAAGCGGCCATGAGAAATATGCGCTTGAACCATTTATTTCTATATCCATAACTTGTCAAGATTGTTTATTGTTTCCTGATACCTAAATATATATCCCTTCTTTACTATAATTCTTATTTGAATTCAAGGGCAGCATAAAATATTTGTTTCTTGAAATAAATTCATGTTTCCCCTTCCTCTTCAATTTTCTAACTCAATTTTGCATGTGTTGTAGGTTCTAGGAAAATGCGAGCTGATGGCAATACCTGAAGTCATCCACTCAACGCAGAATTCCTGGTAACAGTCATTTCTCTGCTTTTTTGTCATGTTTTGTTTCCCAAATTACTCTGTTTTCAGTATTTTAATGTGTACAAGTTGCCCCAAGACTTTTAAAGAAATATATAATATACCATCCAGTAAAATTAATCACAAAATTAGTAAGTTCTTTCTATATAATACAATGCTAGAAAAGTTTTACTTCCATCCCTCTTTTCTGTAACTTCTACTCTGGTCGCCCAAGACAAATTTCTGTGCAGCAGAGCTATGAATTCCCTTCACTGCAATCTGAAATACTTTTCTCTCCTTCCTGCCATCATTACATGATTTCGCCTCCTCACTTGAAATAACGTTTCCCCTGATTTTAATTTCCCCCATTTCTTATTATGTGTTTCTGGGTTCTAAAATAGCAAGGTATGATTTCAAAAACTTTATAAACAACTCTCCACCTGCATGATCTTGCCCTATGCTTCCCTAAGAAATGGGAAGAAATACTCCCTCATCCTTGTATTTCAAATCAACAGACTATTTGGAATCATGTCCCCTGCCTTTCCTTTTATGTAATAAAAAATGCTGGTATCAGAAACTAGATCCTCTCCTCTTGTTTCCACCCCTTCCTAGGCTATAAGACATTGTGACTGTAGTTATCTTCTATGTGTCCAAGCATTGCTTTCTTTGCTAAGCTTTACTCCCATTCATTCAACAAATACTTTAGTATAACCCACTTTTCCCCAGATATTCTTAGAAGCACTGAGGATTAAACATGGAACAATACAGAAAAATTCCTTCTCCACCAAAAACTCTCATTCCAGTTGAGACATATGGATAACAAACGAATGAATGGCAAACTAATAAGCAGAACTATATTTACTCTTGAAAAGTAATGCACACTACAGAGAAAAATAAAAAGCAGAGAATAGGGTGAGTGCATGTCAAGAGTAGTTTGAAAATTTAAATAACGTATTCAAAGGAAGCCCTTCCCTGACAAGGTATCATTTGTGCAAAGACCTGGAAGATGACAGGGAAGCTCACACCAAGGAGAGGAAACAGGAGATGCCAACTTGCTGTCTGTGTTTAAGTGGGGAAAGAGGCCTTGTTTGGCTGGTGCAAAGTTAATTAGGAAGAGAGTGGTAGGAGACAGAGAGGGAGCAGGCCAGCACTGGCAGGGCCATGAAGGACAATATCAGGACGCAGACTCCTTCGTTGAGTATGACGAGAACTCTTAGAAGAGCTTTGAACACAGAAGTGATGTGATTCGCATGACATTTTAATAGAATCATCCTGGTTGTTCTACTGAGTATAAACTGAAGTGGGAAAATGTAGGCGCTGAATGAGTTTCTTAAAAGATAATGTGAACACAATAACTGCTGCCATTGATAAATAAATAGTATAGTAAAATTTTAATTAAAACATTATTGAGTTATATAAATTATGTCATGAAGTAATGGTTGACAGCATTAATCAGCATATCCAACATGTGTTATTAAATTTTGCAAAATAAATTTTTTTGTATTAATCCCAGCACCAGTTTTCTCATCATGTACTTCACATTCGGAACTGGAAAATCTAGGAGCCGAAGTTTGTTGGGATCATTAGTGAAAATTCATAAAACATGGTAAGGAGCCAATTTTAGTCATTCCTTTTTTAATTGCTGAGTAATATATCACTATTTTATTCATTCTATACTTAATAGTATACATTTCTGTCTGAAACTATTATAAATAAAGCTGCAACTAACATTCTTATACATTTCTCTTGTGTACATTTGTGTGTATTTCTGTAGAATATGCAAATAGGAGAAAAATCTTTTGGATCAAAGGCTACGTATATGTTTTGTTTTGGTCCATTCTGACAGTTTTCCAAAGTATAAGATGGTTTTACCAGAGTAAGTCCTTACTACTAATGGATGGCAGGCCCTCTGGGTTCAAATGCTTGCCAATGTTTCTGAATATCTTTACCAAGCTGGCTTTGCCCCCATTCTGAGTGTGGCCTGTCATAGCTTAACTTTGGAATTAATTTAGTATCCTGACTACTGCTATTGTTGTGCAGATTTTCATATTTTTATTGGCTTTTAGAGAATTTTTTTGTGTGAAGCTCCCATTTAAGTCTTTTGTTCATGTTTCTATTGTACCGTCTTCTCTTCAAATCAATTTATGAGTTCTTTATCTATCATGGATATGAGCTATTAGTTAGAAATATGAACTACAAGTACTTTTTCCCACTCTGTGGCTTGCTTTTTATACACTTAATGATATCTTGTGATAAAAAAGTTCTTCATTTTAACAGTCTTTTCCCCCTTATTGAAATACCCAGTGATTCATTGTGACTGTTTTAAAGATCATATAACCTCTCCATTATAATGTTATCTTTGTCATCAACTATATGTGGTTGTTTCTTTTTTTTCTTTTTTTTTTCCTGTTCCATTGATCTATTTGTCTTTTCTTTCACTAATACAACACTATGTTCAATACTGTGGTTTTTGAGTTGGTACAGTAAAATAATTTCTCCAAATTTTGATCTTTTTAAAGCTCTTATTGACCCTTTACTTCATATAATTTTTGCATCATCTTGTTCATTTCCAAATAAAAATAATTTTTATTGAAATTATTTAAATATATGGAATAATTAGGAGAGAATTGAAATTTTTACATTATTGTGTCTTCCAATCTACATAGAACTTTTTTAAAGTTTCTCTCAATAATGTACAAAGATGTTGAGCTTTTAAAGTATTTATTTTCTTTATATCATTCTTAAGCATTTGATGAATTTTCAGGTATTTAAAATTATACCTTTTATATACATTGTTATTTTCATATATTTTTAAACTTACTATGGAAAACTTGTTTGAATCATCAAGAAACTCCCATATGCCCTTAATTCAGACTTGCCAATCGTTTATATTTTGTTGCATTTGCATTTCTTTCTCTTTCCCTCTTTCTCTCTCATTTTATTATTTCTGAACCTTCTGCAGCCCATATTGAAATTTTCTCAATTGTCCCAATTATATCTTTTATAGATACTTTTCCCCTGGCTCAACATCTAATTAATGATAATACATTGCATTTATTGTAGTCTCCTTTTTTCACTTTTAATTTGATACAGTTCTTTAGACCTTATTGTCTGTCCTACCCTTTATTTTTTAAAAAATAAAGGCCTGTCGTTTTAGTTATTTTTTAGAACATCCTTCAAAATTAACTTTACTGTTTCTTCATTATTAGCTTTATTTTATGGGTTTTTCTGAAGAGTGGGGGCAAGTTGGGAGGGTCAAGAATGCCAAACAAGCAATGTCATGTTCTTCTCACTGCACCATAAAGAAGGCACAGGAAGTCAGTTTATCCCAATATTAGTAGCGTCAACTAATTGATTAAGTAGCATCAACTAGTAGATTAAGGTGGTATCACAGTTTCTCCACAAGAGCATTTGTTTTTTGCTTTCTAATTAATAAGAAGTTTATGGGACAATACCATGTAAATGTTAATTTACTCAACAAACTTTTACCCGCTATTTCACATTGATAGCTTCTAAATTCATTATTTCTTCTATATTTACTAGTTCATATTCTACTTTAAGAAAGAGATTTTTTTTTTTCCATGTCTATTTATTTATTTATATCAGCATGGACTGTGGATTCATATTTTATTTAATCGGTTATATTACTTTACTATTTTTATTTACTTTCATGTTCAAATTGTTGCAGATTCAGCCTAAGCAAGTCTTGAATCTGTGTGATTTTGACAGACCCTTGTTGTTGTTTTTAGCACATCCTTACATTATAGAAGCCTAAAATGTCCCTGGCTCATTCTGTACTTTCTCTGCCCGAGCTCTGGAATCAGCCTGTTCTTCAGGAAGCCCAGATTTCTCTTGATGGAGAATATTATTTATAACTAAAGGTTTGAGCAATAGGAGAGCTCATGTGTCTAAGCCCTCTGAGGGGAGAGAGCTAGGAAAAATAGTTCTATATATGACTCAGGCACTTATTATTGTATTTATTAATCATCTATACATGCTTATTGAAATATATATATCTAGCCTTGGCTGGTGTGACTCAGTTGTTTGGGTGTCGTCTTGTACATTGAAAGGTTGCTGGTTCTGTTCTTAGTTGGGGCAAATCCCCAGGCTCCAGGTCCGATGCCCAATAGGGGGCTTGCAAGACGCAGCCTGTTGATGTTTTGCTTCCACACATCGATGTTTCTCTCTCTCCCTCTCCCTTCCTCTTTCTCTAAAATGCAATAAAATTATTTTTAAAAAGAAATATATATGTCTATGTGAATTTTTGAATACATATTCACAAAACTCTGTTTATGTATAAGCACTGCATAAATTAAGTTCCTTCTTCATATTTATAAGTCCCTTTCTTAACAGTAAAAAATCTGATTCTCATATTCTCAGTGGTATTCCTGAATTTTATAAGCCTCAATCCATAGAAAGTAGTTTCAGAATTGTTAATAAAGATCACCACCAAAAGCAAACTTACTAATTATAATTGATATTTGTTTATAGGTATTTTTTTCTTTTTTTTTTAGGTAAAATGCACCCATAAGGAAAAGCAAAATTCACAAATTTTAAGTACACAATTCAATGATTTTTGGCAAGTAAATACCATATTCTTGTCAAGATATAGAACATTTTATCACCAAGGAATTCTCCTCATGCCATTTCCCAGGCAATTCCTCCCCACCCTGTTCTCTCATACACACACACACACACACACACACGTATGTGTCTATGTATTTATAATCACCTTATAAGAGGTGACAATTTCAGGGATGTTGTTGAATATCCTGGTCTTCAATGACATCTTGTACTTTGATTGCTGGAAACATGAATGTATAAAGCCCCAATTGTATAATTTATAAATTTAATATTTCTCAACAGTCTTTAATTAGATTTTTTATAATCAAACAGTATAGAATGTTAAATTTTTTATTCAGTTATTCCAAAGAAAGTCAAGTTTGAGAGTATTCAAGTGAGCTAGGAAGATTATTTCTTAGATTGGTGTGCAATGATATTTAAACATACATGGTTAATGAAGATGTCTCAGCATTTGCCAAAATGTAACTTCAGTGGGTGTAGTTCTATTATTTAGCACCTAAAGCAGAATCCCTGTCTAAGTCAGGTATACAGCATGCTCTCTCCTCTGCTCAGTGTGCCAGCTCGGAGACTATCCTATGTTTATAATACCAGTAAGTAATTCTGATTCTTCTACCATTGAGAATTGTAGGTGGTCTTCAATAGATTTTAAAGTATGCTTGTCATTATTTTATTCATCAGACCCAAACCTAGAGAGGGGTTTTAGTACCTCCTCATATAATATTCTATTTTGAAAGTAGTCTTTATTATTTTAATCCATGGAAATTTGATCAAGTAGTCATGTAAGCTGAGGCAAACTAATTACTGAATATTGTTTTCTTAATGACTCAAATCAATAATTATTTTAAGACCTCCTTATCGCTACTTTTATTTCAAGGCAACCATGGGACTTGATGCCATCAGATGCCATTTTTATTTTTTGTATGGAAAGGTGGATGGGCTGGTCTAACTATTATTTAAATTTAAAATAATATTTGAAACTTTAAAGCAAAATAGATTTGGTGAGAAAACAAAATGGCATTTTAAGGAGAACTTCTAATTTAAGGGATAGTGTGGTTTAGTTAAAATGTGGCACATAAGGATAAATCTATAAATATGCGCTAAGTGAAGAGATTATTTCATGAGCAGGGAAGACAGTGATGGGCTCAGAATCATTAGCACAGATTGTCTAATTCCACGATGCAGTTTCTACTCAAGTGATGGCTCATTAGTGGAAATCCTTGAGACTAGCGATTGCCTAAGCATCCAGATCAGCGACTCAGACCCTAGGAAGTTTGTCAGCAAGCTTTACAGACAGTTTCATTAAAACTTTAGAAGATCAGGGGCTCAGAAGCAGAAGTAGCTGGTCTCTGGGTAAAACAGATGGTGAAGGAGACAGAATGAAATGATATGATATACGGAATAAGAATACGAGGTTGGAGAATTCTGAAGAGATCTGAAATAAGTGAAGAATTGAAGTAAATGCACCAATCTTATTTCTGAGAAAATGTGTTATCAAAAACACTTTCAAAGGAAGAAAATGGGATACAATATGACCACAGTTGCAGAGAAATTACATTTCCAAAGGCAGAGCAGTTGAGTAGGAAAATCACCCTGATGGTGACTGAACCGCTGGCCTGGTCCCATCTCTGCAGTTGCCGTTTTCCCCCCTGTTACTAGTGAGCATTTTGTGGGGAGCGACTCTGCAGCTATGTTAGTATCCTATTATTCCTTACACTCTCACCTGTCAGCTTCAGCGTCCTTGATGACTATGGCACAAATTGATTTTTATTATGATGGCTGTGAAATGGTGATTTTCTAAAATGACCAGTCTAAAATATGAAACACTTCAGGAATTTGGGTCATTCCTGTGATGGGTCACATCTATCTTTTCTGTATTGTTGTAGTTCTAGTACACGAACTCGTCACCAAAACAAGTTCACTAAGAAACTTATTTTTAAAAGAGGGAGCCTGGCCGGTGTGGCTCAGTGGTTGATCATTGACCCATGAACCAGGAGGTCCCTG